AGCAAACCCGAGCCCTTCCAAGTAGCGGCTATAGCCGCCCTGGCCGTCATCGTGGAGGACGAGGCTAGTGGAGATAAGCGGGTCATCCGCGACGCTACCCACGGGGTCCGCGTCAATCACCCGATACTTTGTCGGGACAAGCTACGGGTTTGGGGGGTTGTGAGAAGAAGCAGCTGCTAAGGGAGTTCAGGAGTCCGGCTCGCCTTCTCGGTGGGGGGGGACATCGCGAAAGCCCACCGCCGCGACAAGCACCAAGAGAGTGAGCACGGCTACCTGCAGGTCGACGAGACGGAGGCTATGCCGGGCGACCCGGATGGCCAGACGGTCTATGTCAACAAGATCGGACCTTCGGCCTCTCCTGGACAAGCTATTGGTGGACCCGGATCGCGGCCTGCGGACTACGGGCTACTCACCACCTACTAGGCGAGGAGTTCATGTTGGAGATGCTCCTTTTGCGGGTTGGAGCTAAAGGCCGGCAGGCCAGGCCTACTGCCACCCGCCCTGGGCCACGAGGGGCGGCTTTCGAGTGGAATGGCTGGGCCTCCAGACGGAGTACCCGCGCTACCGGCTTGGGCGGATTGGCTGGTGGCCTGGACTGGATCGCGCCGGATCGAGGCGAAGGCAGGGCATTCGCAGGATTGGGAGAGGCGGTTCCTGGGCCCGCTATCCGCTATACACTTGGTCGGCGGCCGTGCAGGGCGGCCCCTTGACAGTACCAGCTGTGCTCGAGGACCTGGGCATGCTGGGCCTTCGGTAAGGGCGGCGCGAAGAAGACTATAGCAGCCCTGGAGCTACTGGCTACCCTTGTGGCCGTCAAACTATGGGTTGTCCACCAGAGCAAGAGACAGACTTCGAGGGTGGCGGTCCGAGGATACACGGACAACAAGTCGAGCGAAGCCCTGATCTTGAAGGCTATGACCACCAAGTACCCCTCGGGCCTGGTGCTGATGGAGCTAGCAGAGGAGCTAGCCGCCAAGGACTGTGAGCTGCAGCTAACCTGGATTCGTCGAGAGATGAACCAGCTAGCTGACGACCTCACGAATGAGGATTTCAAGCATTTCGATAGGGATTTTCGGATCCCCCTGAAAGGGGAAGAGCTAGAGTGGCGCATCCTGGACAAGCTCCTGGACCACTGGGCTAAGTTTTTCGCCGAGGTTTCGGGAAAGAAACGGAAGGAGCTATGGGAAGGCAGGTTCCAGCGGAAGACCAAGAAGCTAGAACCCTGGTGACCGGTCGGCGTCGCAGGGGGAGTGACGCTAGCTAGCTGAATGGCTAGCTGATCTCCGAGCTACCAGGGAGATGTGTCGCTCGCGAAGAAAAAGGAAGGCTACGTTTCTCTTAGAGTGAAGTCTCTGCTGCCTTTTGAGTTTTAAGGTGCAACGCTCCGTGCCGCTAGGTCCCGGGGGCAGTCCGGGTAGGCGGGCGGGGCTTAGAATGAGCAAGGCTAGTTTACTGCTTGGAGTACATGGTGAAGGGCGCTTACGAGGTGGAGGCAAGGCCTCGCGGTGACAGTGCGGCTGGACGTGGCATTGCACAGCGCGTGGGCTGTGGGCGCGTCCGTCATCTGGACGCCAGCCTACTCTGGCTTCAAGAAGCAGTGAAAAGACAAGAATTCAAGGTGTCGGCTATCGCAGGCACCGCCAATCCTTCAGACATCGGCACCAAGGCGGTTCCCACAGCCCGCCTCCGCACGCTTTTGTTCAAACTCGGTGCCGTCGATGAGAGCTATGAGCCCATTGGACAAGCTGAGCATGAAGAAGCAGCTTACAAGAGCAAGGCCAAGGAGATGCTCAAGAGTGGAGCTTCGGGTGTGAAGAACATCAAGCAGCTCATGCCAGTTCTTTTGGTGTTGTCGCAAATCCCAGGGATTGAGGGCTTGGGCTTGACTGCAGGGTTCTACGAGTACTGCCTTGACGACCTTGCGGCAAACCTGATCACGTGCATCCTGGGTGCTTTGGTGCTCGGAGTTGTTTTTGGAGTGCCCGGAGGCATTTTGCTTCAGGAGGCTGGAAGCATCTCTGGCCGAACCCGTGACGTTGGTGTGCAAGCAAGCTTGGGAATGGCCAGAGACGAGCAGCGCTATCATGGAAGAGTACGTTGGACGCTCTACTGAGCAGAGAATGTTGATCAGTGAGCAAGCTCGTGAAATCGAGAAGCTTGAAGAGGCCCTGCGCGAGGAGAGACGACGCTTGAGAAGTGTACAGGTTGTTGAGCAAATCCCTCCAAGGATCGCTGTGGCTACAAGCCGTGGCGAGAAATACCGCCGCCCAGGATGTGGCAATTTATGAACGAACGTTAAGTCCTACACTCTGTGTGGGCACTGCTTTCCCAATCAGGGATGAAAGATGTATAGATTTGGAGAGCGCAGAGCTTTTAAAACAAAGGCTGTGCGAGGCGGGTCCCTTGCGATGCTTTGTACACACCGCCATTTGAGCCTTCGGAGTGCTTGTGAGAGAAAGATTTCAAATCTAGTTTGGGCAGCAAAGCGGACCAAACGAATTGTTCCCAGGTGCCAGTGGGGGGGCGGGGCTGTTGGAGGGCCGGTGGCCCAGGAAACCTTCCAGTGACACGCCGATCCTTTGTGAGGTGGATGAACATATGTTTTCATCAAGTCGGCATGTGCATTCAGTTTCCCGTCAGAGGGTTGTCCGCGTTTGCGCATATTTTCATATTGTATTTTCAGCTCAAATATCCGCAATTTTGAGATTGCTGTGCATGTAATATTACGGTACAGTCCTACCAGCCCATATATTCTATATGTGCTTTGTTATCCAGACAAGCCAAAAGTGACAGCAACATAGATAGATATATATATATATATATAGCAGGAGAGTAGAGACAGGGTAAATCAGCAGACACAGTCAAGTTTGTTGGATGCCATGGCTTTGCAGCAGCGGCGTATGAATTCATCCCTGACGACAGGGAGTGTTGTTGCGCGATGCGGGGATATAGTGGCAGTGGCTGAAATCCTTTCCCGTAGAGTTAACATGCCAGGCGCGGCCATGCCCACACAGATGCAGCAGTCTCATCCCGCCATAGATTCTGAGCGGAATGCCTGACACTGATCGAAAACCATTCTTCCGGGTTGGGTAACACAGCATGTGTGCTGAGCTGGCTTGTGGGCTTGCATAGTTCAAGCCATCGGGAACCATACGCCCGTGGCATGTCCACACGCGGACTGCCCCAAAGCCGCCGGCAGGCTCACTGCGCAGTCTCACTGCGCAGGCTTCCATCAGGATGCAACGCATGTGTTGTGAGCCCTTCAAGGCTCGGCCATGTGCTTAGCCCAAAGGTTCGTGGCTTGACACTGCGACGGAGCAGCTTTGCAGAAAGGTTGACAGCACAAC